TGGAGGCCTCCTGGGGCTGAGGAACTTCGGGGTGTCACTCAGGGTGACAGCAGGTAGCCCAGCAAGCCCATAGGAGCGGGACAGGCCAGGCTGGGCCTCCACTGTTTCAGGAGTGTTCCTGACCTGGTCTCACCTGCACCCTGTGAAGGGAAGCTCAGAATTCAGGGAGATTCGGGGTCCCCTGGTGGGTGCCCTGCCCTGGTCCCCTGCCCTGCCAGGGGACCCCGAACCTCCCTGAATTCTGAGCTTCCCTTCACATCTGAGGCCCCATGCCTACAAACTGAAAATCAAATCTGCCAAAACAGGGCTTGGGGAGCTGCCGCTCCTGAACACAGCTCGTCCCAGTCCATTCTAGACATGAGGTCCATCCACGCCTGGGGGAGACCCCTCCCTCGGCCTCCCAATGCCACCTTCTTTGCCCCTCCAGTGTCAGGTTGAAGCTCTGGGAATGAAGGTTCGAAGTTGTAAACCGGATTTCTTCCCAAGTCCTCAATCACTCAACGGCAAACTATGAAGTGTCTGCAGCCTGTGGCTCCTCCTGCAGCCAGACCTGGGAGCGGGCACTGAGTCTGAGCCCCGGGTTTCTTCCAAGGCTAGGACACTCGGGCCCCTCTGCGGCTCTCCCAGGGCAGCCCTGGGCTCAACACTGCCCTCCCCATGTCCCGGAAGGAGGCTGCTGTGGCCCTAGCTCTGAGGCCCAGGCCCAATCCATCTTCCCAGCCAGTGACTCGCTCTGATAACAGGGCCGAGCTGCCGTGGCATTTGCCTCTGATCTCCGCTGCCCAGGCATTTGTCAGGCAGCCTGCGAGGAATGAAGAATGGGCGCTTGGTGAGGCACAGATTACCCGCCCCAGAGGCCCTTGCTGAATTGCAGTTCAGAGCTCAGCTGCCTGGGGCCACGGATCAACAGGGAGGCGACTAACCTTCCTCACAGCAGCCCCTGCCGTGCGGAGCAGAGGGAGGGTTGAAGCCGGGAGAGCCTGGGAGGAGACTCTCCACCACCCCCTGCCCTGCGCCTTTCTTCACACAACGCCCCTCACTCCCTCCACCCCCAGCCCTGTCTGTCTAGGCAGCCCACTTCCTTCACTAGAGGCAGCACCAGTGGAGACGCTCAGTTCTTTGGGGCACCCCTTCCTTGCTCCCTGTACAAGAGAGAGTTCAGAGTTGCTGGGGCAGGGTGGAGATTTCCCCTGATGTCCCAAAGCATTTAGAAAAACTGGAGGCCTATGCCAGGGGCACCCTCACCCTGGACAGGAGATCAGCCTGTAGGAGCTAGAGACTGGCCTATCTGAGGCTCTGCTTCCTCTGATGGGGACGTCCAGGCCACCTCGTCAGGGAGGGCCTGCCAGAACCCAGCAGAAGCCCTTCTGCCCCCATGCCCACAGGGCTCTTTGGAGCTGTGCAGAGGCTGGGTGGGTTTGGGCGGTGGACGCTTTAGCAAGGGATAGGGGTGGGACTGGCTGCTGGCTCACAGGCTAATTCTCCTGGCCCTCCCTGGGCTTCCTGCCCAGCTCTTCCTGTTCATGCGTACTGTGAGGAAGGCCAGGACTCAGCGGACTTAGCAGAGACCCTGCAACCCCATTGCCCAAGGCCAGCACCTCTGGGCCTGGGGGCTCTGGAACTGCTCTCCCAGGGGCTGGCGGGGCAGAGCTACCTGTCCTCTCCCCAGAACGTGAAACAAGTCCAGTTTCCCTTGGGCCCTCACCTGCTCCACCTCCTGCGTTCCCCTCACCCTCGCCTGGCCATGCTCACCTACTAAGCCGTGACTGTCACCTTTTGCTCCACTTTGAGTTCACCTGGGGAGGCAGAACCACCACCGACGTCCCATCAGTTGAATCAGACTCACTGCAGCTGGGGTGAGAAGAGCTACTCAGGCAAAGCGTCTTTCCCCTCCCTCCCCACAAACGTCCCTGCTTGACTTCTCTGCCCCTCCCCATGTCCTACTGTCGTTGATTTACTCAGACTACAGGGTTAGAGGCCGCCGTTCCCCAGGCTTTGGGGAAGATATGTAGATCACGTGGGGTCTCTGCCTCTGGGAAGGAATGAGCACTTAAGACTCCACAGCCAAGAATTACCCCAGAGTGGGGCAAGTGCTGTACCTGTGGGGGTGAACAAGCGGAATGAGAAGAGCTGAGGGCTTTCCTAGGAAATCAGGCCACCAGACGGACCATTCAGGAGCCAGGAGCCCCTCCTTCCGGCAAAGGCCCTTGGAAAGGTTGAGTTGAAAACACGCAGTTGGAAGGGATTCGGCGCAAGCCACATGCTCCCTCTGGTGGTCAGAAAGGGAACTGCGCCCTCAGACGGAGGCTGTCGTGGTCGGAGTTGTGTGATTAAGAGTAATTCACCCAGTCATTTCCCAGGCTTGGTACATCTTTGTGACTCAATGCAGGTCTGAATTGTGGAAAATCCCAAAGTGAAGCGAAAGTTCAGTAACTGCCAGCCCACGTGACCTTTCTGGAGAGGGAAGGGAAATGTTCACAAGAGTCCTGGCTAGGAAGCAAGTCCCAGGCCTCTGAATGCCACCTGGGGCCATGGGGCTCATTAAGCCTCGGCCTGCAGAGGCCACCCCCCAAGCCTCATATTCAATCAGGCTGGGGGAATCTGGGTACGTGGTGGTTTGAAAAGCCCCTCAGGTTCAGACCTGATAAAGCCTCACATTTCATAAGGAGGGAGGACTTGAGGCAGGGTCAGCGAAGGGAAGTGACTCATCCAGAGCAGGTGAAATTTCCCTTTGAGGGTGGCAGGCTGGATTGTTCTCTGTATGGAACATTCTAGAAACTTGACTCTTCTCTAGTGCTCTTATGTGGGCCACAGGTCTGGAATATCCCTCTTCCTCTGTGCCTTGCTGCTGCGTCCAAGAGGCTTTGGGAGCCCCCCTCCTCCTGAAAGTCCTCCTGGCTGGACCTGCCCCATTCGTGTTCATTTCTCCCAACCTCGAGGGAGAGCTCAAGTGTGTGCCTCTATCTCCTGCATAGAAAAACTGCATTCCGTTTAAGGGTTTGGCCGACACCAATGAGTCCACATTTGGAGTGGGGTATCATAAGGACTTGGTGCTAAGTTGTAAGTCACCAGGCCTTCCTCTGTGTGGCTCCTGGCCTCCTCTGGAGTTTCTCCCCCCAACCCCAGGCCTTCTCTGTTTCCCCTTCACTCTCCAAACCCCCAGGCAGTCAGTGGGGAGTCCACCTCCCTGCCCCACCAACTACTCCCCGTCCTTTGGATGTTCGTGTGGTGGGAAGAGCTCTGGAAGGGGAGCCAGAGACCTGAATTTTACCTCTGGCTCTGACTCAGGCTGGCCATGTCACTCTGGACAAGCCACGGCCTCTCTTGGAGCCTCAGTTTCCCCTTCTGTAAATTGAAGATGGTCTGTTTTGCTCTCTAAGGACCCTTCGCTGCTCAAGCCTTCTGTGTTTTTAGGAGAGTTGGTGGTTATCAGGGACTGGGGGAAGTGGATTAAGACAAAGAGCTTAATTCCCAGGTGGAGCGGGATCCATCCTGCCTCTGGCCCCCAAACATGCCCTGTTCATTACTGCTCCAGTAGCTTGATTCTCCTGCCAGTTCTCCTCTCCCCTCCCTCAAAAGCTTGCAGGCCCAGATGAGGAAGCCAGACGCTAGGTGGTGCCAGAATCCCACAATCCCTCCAGCCTTAGAGGCCTCTGAGTGAAGGGAGGGAGAGGAAAGGGGGGCTCCTTCCTGAGTGCAGAAGCTCCCAGAGGCCTCCCTCCATGACCTCAGCCTTGGACTCACAGCAAAGGGGGCATGGGCATTAGGAGTTGGGCACTGGTGGGCAGAGCGACCTGGCAGCATCTCAGGCTGAGGCTGCCCTGAGTAGGTCCCTGCCTGCATGGACGGGGACTAGAGCAAGTGTGTCGATGGTCTCACTCTCACCATCTGTTCCCTGGCCCCAGGCCCTGGAATTAACCAAGCCTCCAAATAGGTGGCCCCAAGAGTGGAAAGAGGTGGCCTGAGCTCAGTACCAGGAGGGGACTGGGAAGAGGGCTGGCTCCTTCAGGACATGTGCGGAGGCCCAGCAGCAGGCCCCTTGGACCCACCCACCCTGGCCCAGGGGTGTACATGTGGAAAATGGCAGAGCACAGGAATGTGACCACACACAGGCTCATCTTGGTAGCCTGGGGCCTCTCCACAGCAACTCCTAGGCAGGGTTGCTTCCAGGATCCCAGCAGCAGCGCCTGGCGCCTGGGGCAGAGGCCTCGTGGGTATCCAACAGGGCCGTGGCTTTGACCCCCTGGGCCTTTCAGACATCCCAGGTGCATAAAAGCCAGGCTGAGGCCTCTGTCCCCAGGGCTCCTGCCAGTTCAGGGGGTACAAGGAGTGGCCTACAGATGACAACACTGAACTTCTTGCTTTTACAGGCAGACAGGTGCCTGAGCAATTACTTGAAAAAACAAATGAGACCCGGCTGTATTTGTACTTGAACTTGGAGAGGCTGGTGGTGACAGAGGAGGCAGATAGGCAGGCAGGCGAGAGAAGCAGCGGTCTCTGACGCTAACTTTATTATGAGCATGAGGTGGCAAGGGGCAGGAGGTGGCGATACCACCTGGGGGTCACATTGAGTCTGGAGCTTCCTTCTGCTCAAGCGCTGGCAGTGACGGGGACAAAGGTCTACAGCCCAGGGAAGAAGGGGAGGTAGCAGAGGCAGGGCCTGGCTTCCCAGCTGGCCCCTGTGCAGTGGGTGGCACTGCCAAGGCTGAGAAGACAAAGGCAGGTTGGGGCTGGGCAGGTTGCAGCAGAGGTTGGGGTTTTATTTCCTCCTTGTCCATCTCACTTTTCTCCAGGGCTCCTCTGTGATCTCCTGTGGCACACACTGCACGCCAGGCCCTTGGCAATCATCTGAAACACACCATAGGTGTGACAGACCACCTGGCTGATGTGTGGGTGACCCTAAAATTCTCCCCTACCCAGTCCAGGAGCCAGAATTCTTCACGGTCGCCCCCAAGCCTGCCCTCCCCTCCCGCCACCTTCCCCGGGCCCTCCTAGCGTACCTGCTGTTACAGCTCATCTTCAGTGATTTGCCTGGTGGGGGAAGGAAAAGCAAAGGTGAGAGGACCGGGGGAGGGGTGGGTCTAGGGATCCCTGAGGCTGGGGACCCCTCCACAGTGGCAGAGACAAAATCCTCAGCCCACCCCTCTTCCCCAGCCCGGAGCCCCTCATCGGTCACCCCGGGCAGCGCTCACCTGCGCTTCTTATTGGCCCCACAGCGGAATCTTCTGCCTTGAAAAGAGAAAAGGAGATTTGTTTCCATGGATTCGTTTTCCAAGGAGACCCTGGAAGACTCAAAATTCTTCCAGTCTCTCCTACCTCCCTCCTGCCAGTCAAGACTGCAGGGTCCGTCTTGGAGGCCACGTTTGACTGTCCCATTTTATTTTATTTTATTTTATTTTATTTTATTTTATTTTATTTTTTGAGACAGGGTCTTACTCTGTCACCCAGGCTGGAGTGCAGTGGTGCATAGCTCACTGCAGCCTCAAACTCCTGGGCTCAAGCAATCCTCTTGCCTCAGCCTCCCAAGTAGTTGGGACTATAGGCACACGCCACCATGCCCAGCTGATTTTTTTTAAAAACTTTTTTTATAGATCGGATCTCACTGTATTGGCCAGGCTGGTCTTAAACTCCTGGTCTCAGGAGATCCTCTTGCCTTGGCCTCCTAATATGCCGGCATTACAGGCATGAGCCACCGTGCCCAGCCTTCTTTCTTTTTATGTAAGGCTGAATCACAGGCATTCAAGAACCTAGGTCAGTCAGTCAGCAAATGTTTACTGGAGCAGACCCATGGTGGGCTGTTGGCATATCGAGAGCAGCAGCAGACACTGGGCCATCATGGTGCCCCCAGCACAGTTGCCCGGTGAACACCTGGAGAAGGATGGCAGCAAGTCCAAAGCAGAGCCCCTTGCTTAGGCCACTTGCCTCCTGTGCCTATGTGCTCAGCTACCACCCCGCACCGCCCTCCGGGAGCTGCCATGGGCAACACGGGAAAATGGGGAGACCCACAGGACTGTGTGCAAGCCTTCGGGTGGGGTGCAGTGGCACAAGTGCATGGAATCCCAGAGCCCACAGGTGTGCTTCCTGTATCTTCTTTCCATGGGTTGTGTTTTCTGTGTGTTTTTCTTTGGGTTGGACCAAAACAAGTCAATGTGCAGTTATTAAGCTCCTGCTGTGTGCCCCTCGGGGCTTGAGGATACATAAGTCTCCTTGTCTCCTCCAGAACACTCCGAGTCTGCACTGGACCATTCTTAGAGCGCTGTCCTGACTGCTGTGTCTTTGGATGCTAGCCCTCCTCTTGTGAGGCAGGTGGGATCATCCCTATTTAACGGATGAGTTTGGGACCATGGTTAGCAGTGGGGGGCCTAGTGCCCCTGCCTGGCCCTCCAGTTACCCCGCAGGTTCACTCTCACCTCCAAGGTTCCTTCTGGGCCCACTGGAGGGTGCACTTGAGCAAGCGGGAACCTTACACTGTGCTCCCAGAGCCTGGCACCCCACCGGGCACCTGTTCCCACATCCTGCAGGGGGTGTGCGTGGTGGGGAGGCTCACCCCTTCCTTGGGGACTCCGGAAAGCCAGCCTGCTCAGCGGCTTTGAGAATAGACGTGCCCCAGCCAGCACCCCTTCCCTGGAGGCCATCCCACTTACTGAGGAGGATGAGGAGTCCCACGATGAAGGCCAGCCCGGCGAAGATCAGGCCCCCATTGCGGACAGTCTCATAGTCTCGGGAAAGAGAGGGCAAGAAGAGTGGGATGGGTGGTCTCTCCCAGCAGCCATCTCTCCCCGCAGCCCGCCCGCAGCAGCCCGTGGTCGCAGGGGGAGATAAGGGGCACAGAGCATGGACCTGGGACTGGGAGAGGCCGCTGCTTGGTGGGAGGGGTCCTGAGGGCTCAGGAAGGGTGAACAGGGGCCCAGGCTTACCATAGTAGAATGGGTCCACATCCCCTTTGGGGCTGCCGCCTAGGAGAGAGCCAGAGGTAGGATGAGAGGAGTCACCAATGGTGGGCCAGCCACAGGAACAGCTGGAATTCCCTGTCCTTCCCTTCCCAGAGGACCCCCAAGGGTCCAAGTGAGCAAGGGGAGGCTGGGAACGGAGTGTTGCTAAAACCATTGCCAGCAGGCTTCTGCTCTAGGTGGCTTCAGACACAATCAACTGGGGCCCAGATACCGAGTGTCAGAGGGGGATCTGTGCTGTCTGGGGGGCCTCTGACCACTCCGGAAGGGAGACGATCTCCTGCTCCTTGATTCCTACCATGGTAGAAAAGGCCAGGAGAGGCCTCTCCCATTAGACTCCCAGAGGCCTCTCTCCACAGGACCATTTGGCTACCAGGTGCTTAGCAGGTATTTGTGAAATGCATGAATAAATAAAACAGAACCTTAAAGTTTATCAGACAGAAGGAGGAAGCTGAGCCCAATGTGTAGACTTGTCCAAAGTCCTAACGATAGCTGAGACAGACCTCCTGTCCTACGTTACCATCCTCAGGGGAAGCAGATCTAGTTAAGAAACATTAATATATAGTGCTGGTCAGGCACTGGGCAAAAGCTAACAAGAGCCTAACTCATCTAACCATTATGGCAACCTTATGAGGCGTCAATGTCATTCTGGTGTAATCCACAAGAGGACGGAAGTACAGAGAAGTAATTCCCCCACAGTTATAGAGCAAGTCAGGAGTCGAGCTGGGGTTTGAACCCAGGCAGCAGGGGGCTGAGAATGGAGGTGCATAAGCCCTTTGCTCTGCCGCCTCTCAATGGCAGGAGGGAAGGAGCCCATCAGAGGCAAGTTCCTGCCCCTGCCTCCAGTGGCCTCCCACGGATTGGAGCTGCTCAGCAGGCAGGTCTCACAGTGGTGCCCTGCAACCGAGTACACTTAACCCGCACAGCCAGAAGGTGGCCTGGCCGGGACGCTTCTGCCACAGCTGAGGGCCACTACTCTTTCCTGCCCTGCTGGAGCCCCTTCTTGTACCAGGGAAGTAGAGCCCAGGAGGAAGGAATGCGCAAGTCAGCGCCTTCCAGGCTGTGGCAAACTGTGCCCCTGGGCAGTGGTGAGACTCAGGGTCTGGCAAGCCCAGCTGTCCCCAGCAGCCAGTCCCTGGGCCAGGAAAGGACAGGCCAGGAAGAGTCAGTGCCCATCCTGACGGGCCTGAGGTGCTGGGTGCTCAGGGAGACCATGAGGGACCCAGCGTCTGCGCTGTCATCCCAGATTAGGTTCAGGCCTTGTTCAAGATCATATGTGGATTAAAGTGTCAGAGCAACAGCTAGACCCAAGTCAAGGCTTCCCCACACACCCTAGGAAACTTCCTCCTCCATGTGAACCACTTGCCGAGACCCTCTCTGCCCAGCACCCTCCCCTTTCTGCATCTGGCTCAAAACCCACCTCTGTCAGCAAGTGCCCCTCTTGGTTTCCAGGTCTGAGTCAGTTCCTGTGACAGGAAGCCTTTGAGGTGTGTGACTTGAACTTGGGGGGCTCTCACCCCAAATCCAGCCTAGGAAGGCTGACCAGAGGGGCCTGCTCCTTCCCCAGCCAGATGGACCCCGTCTGCCTCCTGCCCAAGTTCAGATGGTCTAGCAAGATGCATTGAACTCAGGGCGGGTGTGTGCCAGGAGGCCGAGGAGGGACGCTCAGCTCTCCATCTTCTATCTGCTGCCGTTCTGCCACTCAAGTTATCTTTCTTTGGGGTTAAAGCAGGGTTCTCTTTTAAGTTGCAAATTTTCTTAGGAGGCCGACAGGAAGTGGGGCTGGGTACTCTGAAAGGCTGAGGTGGCAGAAGAGGGAAGGGTAGAGTCCAGCTGACCCTGCAAAGCAGGCCAGTCAGAGCCACCCAGCCTCACACACGCCTGGGCACACACACCAGCACACTCACCACCGTCCATCGACAACCCAGTCATTTCCCCAGCTGAATGGGCTCTCTCCACTCCCTTCTTCCTGCTGTCTCTGCTTTTTGGAGAGTGTCTGGCTGCCTCCGCGGGGTGGCCGGGGACGAGGCGGGGGCATTAAACATTAACAGTGCCAGGTAATATTTACCCTGGTCACAAGAAAAGCGGCAGTGTGGATGGAGGGGCTCCTGCGGCAGGGTGAGGAGGCGCGTGGGGAGGCAGGGGCAGGGAGGAGCTGGCTGAGTTTCTAAACCCTCCCAAAGGAAATTTCCAAAGAGAAGGGCTGGGATGGGTCATCGGTGGTGCTGTTCTGCCAGCTGGGGAAGCCACAGCTGGGGCGGTGGGAACAGGAAAGTGGAAATTGTACAATCTCTTCAGTGTACACTGTACTTGGGAGCTTCCGGGGGCAGTGTCAGGGGTCCCACACGGCCCCCAGCCCAGGCAGGGCCCACCGCACCAGCCACCATGGATGCCACCGCTGCAGCTGCTATTCCTTATGTGGCGCTGGAGGCTTTCCTGCAGTGGTCCCTAGGAGCCTGGCCCACTGCTCCCCCACCACATCCCTGGAGCACCCCCAAAGCCCACCAGCAGTAGATCCTCCAGAAAGGCGCTTCATCTGTCTTCCTATTCATCCATCAACGTGCACCCTGCAGGTCACACCTCAGTCGGAAGGGCCCCAGTCATCCCCAACTAATTTCTCCTTCCCTGCCGCCCCAGTACTTCCTCCTACCACCATTTGGCCTGGCTCTCGGATTGTTTCCTTGCCAGTTTACCATGGCGCATGCAGGATCCTTAAGGACGGGGCAAGACTTTCATCGCAGGGAGAATCCCCTGCTTTTATGGTTTACCAAGCACTTTCCTCATTGTTATCTCCTTAAGCTTTATGTTTCCCGTTTTACTGATGAGGCAGGTGTCTAAGGCACAGAGAGGTGGGGGCCTCGCCCAGGGTCACACAGCCAGTGTGGGGGAAGTGGAGAATGACAGGCCTCCTGCTGCAGGAGGCAGCTGCTTTCCACACCTCGCAGGCAGCCTCCCGACTCCACTGTGACCTCCTTCACCCCGGGACTCCTGTGCTGGGTAGTCGTGGGTACTGTGGAATCCTCGTTAAGTTCTAGTCCATTGAATTGGCCTCCAGAAGAGGCTGAAGCCCAATGCCCACCAAACAGCCAAGGTCAGTGGCCAGCGGCCACCAGGGGTGCTTGAGCCCTCCTGAAGGGAGCCACTCTATCTATGAATCCTCCCCAAGGAGGGGCAGGGCTTGACACTTGAGTTCACACCCTGGCCCTCAGTGGTCTCAGTCAATTACTTCACCTCTCTGTGCCTCAGTCTCCCCATCTGTAAAATGGGCACAGTACCCAGCTCCTAAGGTGGTTGTGAGGGGAAGTGAGATAATGCATGCAAAGAGCGTATCCCGGGGCCTGGCACACAGTGAGTGGCATCATTGTTACTGTTATATGTGTGCTGATTGAAGAAATAACAGGCATTAGCTTTTGGCAAATGTTTGCTGTGGGACATGGAAAAGCCAGCCACTCTCCAGTGAAAATGGGCACGAATGAGTGAGCTGGAGAGAATGTCATGGCCCTGAGGATCAGGTGTGCAGCTTCCTTCTGCTTCCAGAGCCAAGGAATATATATCTGTGCAAACATCCCAGCAGAGCCAGCATTTGGGGAAGATGGGCCATGCACCAGGTTCTTGGCATGCACTGCATCACTTAGTTCCTGCTAGCGCCGTTTTACAGATAAAGAAACTGAGGCTGCTCCTTTGCTTTCCACAATAGTCCCTGGAGGTGGCCAGGGCAGTGTCATGATCCCCACTGGGTACACCAGAAAAACCGAGGGCAGGAAGGTGAAGGGACTTGCCTGAAACACACAGTTAATGGCAAACCGGAGGTAGAAAGCCCAGACCAGACCCTCGAAGGTGTGCTACCAAAGCTACTGCCGTCTCCACACAAGACAAGGTGCTCCCTTTACTATACAGGAATGTGTCGTCTTACTGGGTTTTGTCTATGTTTGTAAGCCTCCGTGGATTCTTCAGGAATAATAAGAGTGTAAAAATAAGTGGGAAGTTAAATAAATTCATCTGTCTATCTATCTGTCTATCTATCTATCTATCTGTCTGTCTGTCTGTCTGTCTATCTATCTATCTGTTGACAACCCAATCATTTCCAAATGGACTGTCTCCTCTTGCCTCTTCCTGCTGTCTTTGCTCCTCGGCGGGGTGGCCGGGGATGAGGTGGGGGCATTAAACATTAACAGTGCCAGGTAATATTTACCCTGGTCACAAGCAGAGCTGCAGTGTGGATGGAAGGGCTCCCGCTGCAGGGGGAGGAGGTGCCTGGGGAGGCACTTATAGATGGATGGATGGATAGATAGATAGATAGATAGATAGATAGATAGGGAAGATAGATTGATCAATAGATAGATGAATAGGAAACAATAGTTGGAAGCTAGTTGCATTTTTAAACTCTGTGTGCAAGGCACCGTTTCAAACACTTTACAGAAATTAATTTTTGTTTTTTTTTGAGACGGAGTTTCGCTATTGTCGCCCAGGCTGGAGTGCAATGGCATGATCTTGACTCACTGCAACCTCCGCCTCCCTGGTTCAAGTGACTCTCCTGCCTCAGTCTCCTGAGTAGCTGGGATTACAGGCATGCGCCACCATGCCCAGCTAATTTTGTATTTTTAGTAGAGACGGGGTTTCACCATGTTGGTCAGGCTGGTCTTGAACTCCTGACTTCAGATGATCCACCCCCACCTTGGCTTCCCAAAGTGCTGGGATTATAGGCATGAGCCACTGCACCTGGCCAGAAATTAATTCTTTAATCATCACAATGACTCTTACAAGGTAAGGAAGGCATTATTATCACCCCATTTCATAGAGGAAGAAACTGAGGGCCAGAAAAGTTAAATAACTTGCCTGAGGTCAGATGGCCAGAAAGTAGGGGAACCAAGATTTGAAGCCAGCAGTCTGGCTTCTGAGTTCCTGCATCTCTGAAGGACGGATGGACAGACAAGTAAATGAGGTGGTTGGACAAGCTGCCTTCCCTGCCCTCGCAGCTCAGAGATGCTCTGCCACGTTTCACAGCAGGCCCGCGACTCCATACGGAGATGCTCTCTTTTGGACATTCTGCCTCTCTTCCCTTCTGCCTTTCCTGCACTTCTGGGGAGCTTGTGGGTGCACTTGAAAGGGACGGGGCTGGCACCTGTGTCAGAGCCTGAGCGGGAGGAGGAATGGGGTTCAGAGGACTCACCCAGGTACCACCTGTCCATAGCAGGAGCTGCTGGCTGTCTCCGGGAGTGCAGGAGAGCAGGGAGGTGCCGCTTGCCCGGGGCCTGGATGGAGAGTGGCACTCCCTCCCTTCGCACCTCAGGTGAGCCCACAAACAGGAAGAGACACAGGCAGGGAGGAGGGGCTGGCAAGGGAGCCTTTACCTCGTGCCCACTTGCTAGGGCAGGTTGGGGCAAGGGATCCACGTGAAAGCCAGGGGAGATTCTCTGACCTCCCCCTGGCACCTGGAGATGGAGAGGCCGTCAGATGCAGCAGAGCCAACCACAGCCCCAGCCCTGGCCCTCTCCCTCGAGAGGCTCCATGCCGCAGCCAGCCCAGGGTGCCCGAAAAGGGTACAGGAGCCAGGAGGAATCAAGGAACCCAGTCTTCCCCAGGTCCCTGGGCTGGTGGCAGCTGAGGGAGACCTTCAGGGGCATTGGATGGGTCGCCTGAACGTTACTCCGCTGCACCTCCGTCCTCTAGCCCAGCTGGGCCGTTGCCTGGACGTATCCTGCCCAAGACCCAGTCTATAGCTAGGCGTCCCCTGAGACTGGGAGGCCCAGCTGCAGCCTCTCGGGGGAGTGGGAATGGTTTCCAGGATCCTGTCCTGGGACCTAAGGCACCGGTCCCAGCTTCCTGTGTCGTTCTGGTCGTTGGCAGAGAATGGGGAGCAGCTGCGGGGCTGGGAGCCGGAGCTGTGATGGGGGCTGCTCCTGTGGCCTGCCCTTTCCGCAGCTGAAACCCCTCACTCAGCCCGCAGTGGCTCGCTCAGCCCGCAGTGACTCACCCCAGCTGTGATGTCAGGCCCACCTCTCAACCTCAGAGGGCTCAGCTGGAGACACCAGCAGCCTAATGAGGCTCTGGGGGCTGCTGGTTGGTATCAGAGGGGAATGGCCAGAAGACAACACTGCTAGGCCTAGGGCAGGGTCAGATCCAGGAGCCAGCAGGGAGCCGCAGGGAGCCCCACCAGGCACAGCAGCCCACTAGGCAGGGTGTCCCACCACGCAGGGAAGCCCACTGCGCTGCCCAGGCAGTCGCTGTTCCTCGGCCACCAAGGCCTTGCCCACAGCTAAGCTGCAGTGAGCAGTCTCTGTGTAGCTGACTTGGGACCACAGGGTCTCCCTTAGGTTCCTGTGGCCGCCCTGGCACGGCCACCCCAACGCAGACACAGAGAAGCAGGGTTGGGAGGGGCTGGCTCTGGCCCCAGCCTCTGACCGGGCTCTGGTCACTGTGACTCCTGCCTCTCTGTCCCTCCTTTGCAACACTTCCTGTCCTGAGGGGAGGACTCATGACATCCCAGGGAGCCCTCACAGGGCTGAAATGGAGACCAGGAGGTCTAGAGAGGTGCTATTTCTTACCAGGATGGGCTGAGATCGGCGCTGGGGTCCCTGAGCACAGCCCTGACTCCAGGCTGTCTGCACCTTTCCCTCCAGACCACCCTGGAGGCAGGGCCAGCCCTGCCCTGGGGTAGGTAAGAGCTCGGCTGGCAGGCGGGCCTGTCCCATGCTCCCAAGTGGAAACCTGCCCACTCAGCCCAGAGCAGCCGAGTGGAAATTCCCCGAGCTGGGGATAGAGAAGTTTACAAACCGCGAGGCTGGGTAAGACTTAGAGGTACCTGGTCCAAACATATTCTAAGTGGTTCGGAAAAGTGGAGCTCTCAGCCAAATCCCCCCCACCCCCCCTGCCAGTACACACTCCGTTCCCTGCCCGCCCCCAGGGTTGCGAAGGAAGGCATCTCTATCTCAGAGCCTGTGTGATTGATGGCCCGACTAGAAAGGACACCAAGGCCATCCCATCCAAACCCCTCCCTTTACAAGTGGCTCCCTCTCCTGCTCAAAATCCTCAGGGAGGGCTCAGATGATACGCCAAAATCTGTCTGTGTCCAGAAAGAAGCCCTTCTTTTTTTTTCTTTCTTTTTTTTTTTTTAGATGGAGTTTCGCTCTTGTTGCCCAGGCTTGAGTGCAACGGCGTGATCTCAGTTGGCTGCAACATCTGCCTTCCGGGTTCAAGCGATTCTTCTGCCTCAGCCTCCCAAGTAGCTGGGATTACAGGAGCCGCCACCAAGCCCAGTAATTTTTGTATTTTTGTATTTTTTATTTTTAGTAGAGACCAGGTTTCGCCATGTTGGCTGGTCTTGAACTCCTGACCTCAGGTGGTCCCCCACAGGCGTAAGCCACCACACCCGGCCAAAAAGCCTTTCTTAATCTGGCTCCAGGCACCTCTGAGCTGGTCCCCGACCTCCCCGCCCTGCTCTCTGCTCCAGCCATGCCAGCCTTCTTGACACCCCTCACCCTCCAGGACCTCCGCACGGGCGGTTCCCACTTCCTATGTGCTCAGCCTCCACAGGGCTTGCTGCTCAGTGCACACTGGCTTCAGGGCTTTCTCCAAAGCCCCGATTCTGGGCATCTCTGTATAAAAATGTTCACACCCACCGCCTCAGCCTGGCTTTTCCTCTGTGGCACTTGTTCTTACCTAAGGTATGTGTTTCCCTTATCTTGTTTGTCCCTCTCCCAACTAAAATCTAAGCACCAGAAGAGCAAGGATTTTTGTTTGTTTCTTCATTCCCCCATGCCTGGAACAGCACATCGTGGGACCCAGTTTTATAAAGTGAATGAATCAGTCCCAGGCAAAAATCAGGCAAAAATGGGGACAGGACAGAGGTGAAATCATTTCTCCCATGCTGCAGGCAGACCCAGGACTTTTCTCAGGCAGCCTCCTTCCATGCTGTCGCCTGTCCTGTGAGGAGTCACAAGACCCGATTTGCCCTCACAGAGGCAGCAACCCCCACCTTGCTGACAGCTCCCCCAGAGTCCCTCTCAGAGGGTTCTCTCTCACTCCTCTTGCACCCCATCCCCACCCCCTCTCCTCTCCCTTAACCTCCCCTTCCTTCTCCAGTCCTGCAACAATTTTCAGAAATTGTCCTATTTGTTCTTTGGGGGAAACCCAGGCATTTGTTAAGTCAAGCAGGTCCCACCCCTCTCGCTTCACTCACGTTTAAGTCCTTCTCAGACTTCCTTCCTGTCCTCCCCCAGCTAGCTCAGGTCATGGGTCCTTGCTGGCACTGGGACAGGGAGCCCCTCTCTGAGACACCTGCTCTCCTACAGAGAGGTCGAGGCCCTTCCACCTGTGGCCCATGTTCCTGAGAGCAGCTCAGCTCAGGAGGGTCTCTCCTCGTAGACATCTCCATGCAAGGCACCCTGAGGGCCAGACACACCCATACATAAATCCCCTTTCATCCTGAGACTTTGCTGAGGACTGCCTGACCCTGGGCAAGGGCACCCCTCTGGATCTTCTCCACCTGGAAAATGGGGTAATAACACCTACCTTGCAGGATTGTTGTGGGAACAGAGACAAGGTAGGTCGAGCGTTTGGCCAGAGAAGGTCCTAAAAAATGATGGCTGTGTTTTCCTTACTCTGAACTGGTCCCCCCAGGAGACAAGAACACTCACGGCAATCCCTTCCCTTGGCTCAGTCCCCAGTTGGAGTGATCTCTAAAGCAGGCTCCTGGGAGCACCCTGCCCTGGCATGATCCCTGCTGGCCACCACTCACCCTGCATCTCCAGCCTCCCTTTCGTCTCCACACAAAACCAAGAAACCTCCTTTGTCTGATGGTTCCAGGCTGGAGACAAAGGAGCGTCCAGCTGTGCTCTCCTGTTTTCTCCAAGACCCAGAGCTCTGGGAGATGCTGGGAGGTAAGGAGAGGCAGCGCCCACTCCTGGATGCGTCAGCACTGTCACAGCTGATGAGACAGTGCCCTCAGTGGCGAGGCCTCCGTCTTCCCTGTCTCCCCCAAGCAGGCCTCCCTTTTGTCTCCTGACTCCTAAATCTCAAAGCAGTCATTTGGGGTGGTCATTGCGGGGTTGGTGGGGCAGGGAGGAAATAGGCTGGAATTCAGCTGACCTCTGTCTCCCTGGCGATCAAAGGCAGAGGCCCCTCACCACCAGCTTCCCAAAATGGGGCTCTCCAGCTCCGCCGGCTCTGGCCTTTGTGGGAGTTTACAGCCTTGAACTCCAGGTCCCCAAATCAGTTCCTCCTGGTGTTGACTTGCAGCTGGAAAGGGCTACAATGAAGCAGAAGTCAGGAGACCTAGGAAGCCATGACCCCTGGCCCAAGTCAGTCCTCAGCTGCATAACCCGTGTGGCCACTGGGCAGGGAAAGCGGCAGTTCCCAGGCCCCATTCGTGCCACTCAGAGGTCCTGAATCCTGAGGAACGCTGGCTCCTGTCTCCTGCTGTGGTTGCAGCTGCCAGGTCATGGGGTCTTATAAGGCAGGGCTGGAAGGAGGTGGGCCCCAGAGGGTCCATTCCTTAAGTGTTGGCTTCAAGATGGCCTGAGCCATGGTGCACAGAGGTTCTGAGAACTGCCAAAGGGCAATGTACTCTAAGAGTCAAGGTCACCAGCTGGTGACAAGGGCAAACCCATTTGACCCACCTCTCCCACAGTGAATACCCTGGAGAGAAATGCATTCTTGACTGTTCTCAGAACTCATGTCCAGGCTTGAACTACCACAGAGCCCATTTCTTTCCAGCTTTTCTTAGTTTTCTCCTTCTGGTAACCAAACTCCCCCTCACCTCTAAAAAGTAGCTTGAGGCTCGCCGCCTCCGGGAAGACCTCGCGGAGCAAGCCCACCCCTGGCTACCCTTTCCTTCCCTCCATGACCTTCCGGATGCCACTGACATGGCTTGAATGGCTGGCATGTGGCTGTGTCACCATTCTCTTCATTTATAGCACAGATTGCCAAGTCCCTGGCCTCCTTGAGGCCTCAGGTCGGGTAAGCTGTTAAATGTTTGTACCTGCACTGAGCCTCGTGCTCACTCTCCACACTTGGCAGCAATTCCACCTATTCCAGGGTCTCGATGGTTCCAAATTGCTGCTTAGAGCCTCCCAACAATTCAGCCAGGCAGGCTGTGCGATGCCCATCTTACAGAGGACACCGCAGGTGGTCTGCAAACAGGTCAGAAAGTGAACCCAAGTCTAACAGAGACAAGAGGAACCCGGCCATCAGAGAATGAGGAGACAAGGAAACGGATAGTAATGCCAACATTAATAGCATAATAGCTACCCGGAGAATTGTCACGGAGCTTCGATGTCCATTGTATCACTTTGACCCTGTGAGATAACAGACAAGATTTTGATGCATTTATTTTACAGGTGGTGAAACTGAAGCTTAAGTGGCTTTTCCAGGGTTACACAGCTAGCAGGAGGCCCAGCTTACCCCAAAGCTAGGAAGGGCTTGATTATTCAGAAAAGGAAACTGACAGAGAGGCTGGGGTCTTTCCAAGCTCACACAGTTAGAGCAGAGGGGACCTCGGGGATGTTCTGAGCCTCAGGCTCCACCAGACTTCCTCCAAGCCTGGCTCAGAGGTAGGAATCTGTTCTTCTGGACAGTGCAGGGGGGCCCCTCCCCACCAGTCCCTGCCACCCAGGTCCTTCAGGACATGTGATCACAGCATCACCTGCTCTGCCATCATTGCCTTGGCAGGTGCTCCAATGTTGTGCAACCAGGCCCGGGGCTGGGCTGGCCCCATCAAATCAACAGCTGGTTGGCTTGGGCCGGCTGAGTCTGCCCCCCTGGAGCTCAGCTGTGACAGCAATGAATCATACTAATGGAGAGAGGTGGCCATTCCTTCTCTGTGGCCTGGAGACAGGTTTTCCCAAAACTCCTCCCCTGGCTCAGGCAAACACACCTGACCTTTCTCTCGCTGGGCCCAGGGTGAGGCAGAGCAGCCAGAAGCAAGGTGGGGTGAACCAGACAGAGCTGGAGTGCTCTCCCACCCCTGCTTTGCCCAGCCACCCCGCCAAGCCCATGATTCCAGGCAGGGTAAGGCCCTCCTCCCAGAGGAAGGGGCCAACAGTCCAGTGACCTTGGAGTGTGCTTCGCCTGGCACTCCCCTCACACTGCTCCCTACAGCTTGCACTCTGCCTCTGACTCTCTTCCAAGAACAATTGGACAAGTTCTAATCTACATCTTGCAAAAAAAAAAAAAAAAAAAAAAAAACCCAGAGAGGTAGGAGGGCCACAGCACCTGGGGTCCCAGAAGGCAGACTGACACCTATTCCTACTGCAGAGGCATGGAGGTCTTCGAAATGGAATGGTGGGGGGCGGGGGGTGGAGGGAGTCACTGGGAGGCAAAACGTGCGGGACATCTGAGGTCACTGAGACCAGGGAACTCGGGATTCCCTTCTGGGAAATGACACAGCATGGCAGCTGTCCTTCCTATACAGTCAAGCTACATTTGCCTCATTAAACCAAATCACAGCTACAAACCAGTGCCACATGCCTGGAGGCTGAGTGGACACTCCTGGTCCTCCTCACGGAGATGTATAGCACTCTGAGCTCTGATCCAGTTGATCTGTGTGAAGTCCCCAGACAAACACATAGTAAGTGTTCCATAAATGTCAGCTGCTCTTGTTTTTTTTTTTTTTTTTAATTATTACTATTTTGACCATCATTTCTTTGATTGTTCTTCATGTGTCTTGTTTCCAGACCATTCAACTCCCACAGGAGGCTTCTTGGAGCACGGTCCAGCTAGTTCGTCTTGAAGGGACAGCCATGCTCCAGGTGCAGTCTTGGGAGCCATCTGATCACTGTCCCTTCATCCAAGCATCTGCTTTCTGAAGGAGACGAGGCCATGTGCTGTCAAGCGCTGTGGACACACAGCCTGGGGTCAAGTCCTAGCTCCTCCACCCCCAACTGGACCAGCCACTATTGTACCTCTGACCGATCTCAGAACACAGCTGGATTACCAGCAGGAAAACTAAGTGAGTGCTTAGAGGCTGGCAAAGTAAGGAGAACCATTTGTAGATGATGTGCTAGAGATGCTGACCATCATTCCTTACTCTTAATTATTATGAGAAAAATGAGAACCCCCTCCTTGGACTTCCTTATTCCTATGCTGAAGTGTAATGTTCTGTTTTCAACAATGTATGGGGGCAGCACACACAGTGCTTTGCATGCCTGGGGCCTCTAAGGGTCTCAGTCTGGCCTTGCTCTGAAATTGCTGCAAGGCCTGCCAATTCCCTGATGTATCATGAGTGTTCCTGAACAATAAGCTCATTTACCAGGTCTAGCTGTGACTAGATATTTTTTAATCACCATGATCACTGGGTTGACAGGTTGAGCTTGAGCTCCACCATAAGCCTGAGTCTTTCCAAAGGCCTGGGGGACCGAAGGCAGAAGCAAGAGCACACGTAGAGAAGGCACCGAGCAAGCGGATCTGTGCAGTTCTTCGGTTCTAAACAACTCGCAGAATCCAGGCGGACTCAGGGCCTGTGTGGCCACTGGGCAGGGAAGGTGGTGGTTCCTAGGCCCATCAAAACCCCAAGGAGCACTGACTTCTGTCTCCTGCTATAGCTTCAGGTGCCAGGTTCACTGGGGTCTTAGAAGGTGGGGCTGGAAGGAGGTGGGCCCAGAGGGTTCCACTCCTTAAGTGCTGGCTTCAAGATGGAAGATATTAAGACGTTCCAGGGGTTGATTCTTTTTTTGAGACACCAAGATGTTCCAGGCTTCTGTAGAGCAGGCACAGTCCTTGCCCTCCAGGACTTGTATCAATAAAGACACAAAACACTAGAGGCAGAAGCTGCATACGGGCAACCTCCATGCAGAATCTGCCTGCATCTGTGTTTGTTCAGCCAACAGTGCTTTTTAGAAAGTTGAGTCAGAATGTCTTTGGAAGGACACTGTAGGTGACTGCAGGCACCATGCCCCATGGTCTCCCCAGCATATTCACATATTGGCATTACCTGCCTGGTCTCCACAGTCTGAATGCCAAGTACGAAGTGTGAATATAAAGGCAGTAAACAAGTGTGATTGGGGCACAAGAAAGGGATTCAGCTGGGTGTAGTGGCTCACGCTTGTAATCCCAACACTTTGGGAGGCCGAGGCAGGTGGATCACTTGAGGCTAAGAGTTCGAGACCAGCCTGGCCAACACGATGAAACCCCATCTCTACTAAAAATATAAAAATTAGCTGGGTGCGGTGGAGGGCACCTGTAATCCCAGCTGCTCAGGAGGCTGAGGTAGGAGAATCGCTTGAACCCAGAAGGCAGAGGTTGCAGTGAGCCGAAACCACACCACTGTACTCCAGCCTGGGTGACAAAAGCAAAACTCCGTCTCAAAAAAAAAAAAAAAAAAAAGAAGGGATTCAATTCTACCTAACACCCAGGAAGGCTCCATAGAGGAAGGAGTATTTCATAATGCACGTCACTCACCCTGTCACTCCCTTGATCCCTTCCTTCCTTTTTTCTTTTTAGAGACAAGGTCTCATTCTGTTGCCTAGGCTGGAGTGCAGTGGTGCAATCATGGTTCACTGCAGCCTGGAACTCCAGGGCTCAGGCAATCCTCCTGCCTCAGCCTGCCGAGTAGCTGTGACCAGAGGTGTGCGCCACCATGACCAGCTAAGATTTCACCATGTTGCACAGCTGGTCTTGAACTCCTGGCCTCAAGCAATGCTCCTGCTTCAGGCTCTCAAGTTGCTGGAATTACAGGTGTGAGTCACCACCCCTGGCTTCCTTTTCAAGTCCTTAGGTAGTGGCCCCAGAACTGACCAAAGAGAAATGTTAGGATGTTTTACTCCAGGCCACTGAGTACTTGGAGAAGCCATTGTGACTCCCTTTTTTGCTCCAAGATGGTGTGCAATGTACAGGTCCTGCTATGGGATGTGGCTTGAGCCCAGTGGCCTGGGAAGGTGGGAGAGAGGGAGGGAGGAAGAGAAAGGGTGGGAAGGTGCGGGGAGGAAGGGTTGAGCAGGAGAGGAGGAAAGTGAAGGAAGAAAAGGAAAGGGAGGGAAGAGAAGCGAGGAGGAGGCAACAGTGACAGCTGCTGAAGGGCTCTGTGCCTGCCTGGCTGGCTCTCCAGTCCTTGCTTCCTCCCTCTGACCACGGACAGACTCCCTCTGGCCCTTCAAGTTCCACAGGCCCTACAAACACTCAAGTTCTTTCACAGAAAGGAAAGCACCTCTGAGCCACTAGGAAATAAAGGATATTTTATTCCTTTTTTCTGTCGTTGTTGAGCGGATAGATCACGATACAGAGAACAGCAATGGGTCACAGCGCACGGTTTGGTTGGTTTCCACGGGAACACAGAGGCCAGGAGGGGCGAGATCTGGGTTGAGTTCCCACTCTTGTTATGATCTTCAACCTCTCACTGTTCCCAAGGGCTGCACGGAGCCTGCCGAGTCTCCAACCCACCTCGCTCGCCGCTCTGACTGCCGACAGGCAGAGCGAAGGATGCGCGAGTTGCCTCTGCTGCCCATCTAAGGGGACGTGGGCAGAGAAGCAAAGGCCTCTACTCTCCCTCCACCCATCCCAATGTGCTGGCCCCAACGGAACAGGAGTCCTTCAGCTATTGCCTGCCAGAGACCCAACGGCAGGGACTGGAGTCTGCGTCTGGGTGAGCTGAGCTGAGCTGTAGATTGAAGTCTCAGAAGCAGGGAAGGTTGGAAGGGGTAGGGTCCCAGAGCCCATGGGGTTATTGCTGAGAAGATATGCAGGGGACACATTCCCCAGGGGCAGAGTAGAAGCCCTGGGCCTGGAATCTCCGGGGGCTCTGTGAAGGGGCAGGGCAGATGGGGACTCCTTGTGGAAGCCCCAGGGAAGAAATTGACCATGGAAGGACATAGCCTGCCTGAAGTCAACGCTGGGCTCACCAGCTCCTTGCTTTGTATCTCCAATTGCTAAGAGACCTTCAGACTGGGGTCAGGTGGGATAAGGAAGCAAGGTTTTTGTTAAATGAGTGAAAGGAGTCCATGAAGAATGATGACAAAGTGCTGCAAACCTTCCCAGGTCCCAAGACAATTGAAGACCACTGCCCGTGCTCTTACCCTACGCTTCCCTAAATCAGGGGAGGGGGCTGGTCTCGGGGAACAAGCAGCCTCCTAGAAGCAGGAGGTGATGGAGGGCTACAGGGGCAGGGAGGAGCAGATGGCCATGTGGCTCAGCCCCTGCCCGGGAAAGCAAGTCCACAGTTCACTAACAAACACAATACCGTCCACGAACAAGTAGCCACGAAGACCAGTCAGCAAACACACACACTCACACACATACACACAGATACATCACAGGAGGTGGGCAGGACCGCAGGCTGCAGTGGGGAGGCAAGTGTTAGTTGCATCATCAGGTGGAGGAATGGTGTTAGAGGGGATAGGAGGGCGGGGGACACACAAGTTCTTGGCTTCTCCTGGGGAAAGGGCTGTTGCTGAAGTGGCCGGTTTTCTTAAGCATCGACATTTGCATCCAAAGGTTCAAGCAGCCACCTTCAGGTTCCGGAGGCTGAGGAGGAGGAGAATTTAAATTAAAAACCCTTTAGCTCACCTCTGGTATCCTTATCTGCTTCTCTCCCTTCCTTGAGCACTTGCCCACTGAACTTCCTGGTATGACAGCCTTTCTGAGACACAGAGAAAGGAGACGAAGACACAGGGGAGGGGTGAACCTCAGAGGAAGCCTCTCCCAGATGGGCTGGAGCCTGGTGGACACGGAAAGGAAATTGTTAAACCCAGGGCCTCCCCAGTGGTTGCTCACAGTCCTGAGCCTTAGGATAAAAGGTTCCTGAGAAAGAACTAGTTTGAAAAAAAACGAAAAGACATTTCATTTCCAGGCTGCCTCCTCTGAGCCTTCCCATAGATTCTCAGTCTGTGATGAAATAGACAGGACCCCAAGCTACCAGGAAGGGCACCTGCCTCCTAGGTCAGGATCTTCGTCCATTCACACTTAGGGTGATCACTTGCCTTCGAGAGCCCCATCCAGAAGACGGGAGTAATGAGCTCTGCCCATCACGGGCTGCTGTGAAGATGCAAAAGCACTTACGAAAGAATTTAAATGCTGCACAGGCACTGCACTGTTATGACCACAGTAGAAGCTGGTGCGTCGGGCACTTCATCATCCAGAAACCTCTTTTAACTTACAATCTAAGATAAACTTATATACCTTTCTATGATGCCTTATTTGTATGAGGGGGAAAAAAGGCAGAAGTGAGCTGACAAAAGACAAACCTTTTCCCTTAGGATATTCCAGGGCATGTCATAAAGCAAGACACACAGGACGGAGGGGAGCAGTGGCGCTGAACTACAGCCACGAAGGCCTGAGTTCACAGTCCGGTCTGTCACTCTCCATGGGGCTGTTCCCTCTGACATTGGTTTCATCTATAAAATGGGCTAAACCCCACTTGTCGCATCCTCTGTTTCTGGCAGACTCGAGTGAGTCTGTGTGTGTGGCTGCACTGAAAACCGTACAGCGTTTGCCAGTTATGACTCTCCTGTGACCCCTACGATGAACAATGGAAGTAGATGCTAAAATCAGTGCCCCGAAATGTGGAGAGGGAAGGATCATATATTATTTGCTCTACTTTTGGGTGGGGTGGGGAAGTTTCATAATAAGGTGTTTTAAAAAAAAAAAGTG